CGTAGAAATTCCGCATGATTCGTCTGAGTGCCCTCAGGGGGTGTTCTCGCGAAGGCGGGGCCACTCATAAGTGGGCTACTATCTATTGAAAGGATCAACATCGTCCATTTCGAACAGCTCCGACGTATTAATAAATGGAATACGAGTAGTCGTTGTCCTCGTTGTCCTCATAGGCCATCAGGGATGCTCAGATGGTGGGGATTACTGTAATCCTTCTGGATTAAGTACCACGACGACTTGACTGACACCCATTGAGTGTTCAATGTTGCTTTTTAGTCCGAACACATCACCATCTGGTCATTTATATTCATGAATTGTTAGTCGCCTTCTTTCATTCCGTCGTCAGTTGTTGTTTCTCATGGGAATTCCTCCGTTAATGTGCCAATTTCTATTTTGAGGTTCTCTTTGTGATCCGTTCCTCTGAGTCTAGCCGCTCGTAGTGGCGTCAAACGCGAAATATTGGGATATCAATCAGTTCGAATTGCGTAATATTTCTGATGTAAAACAGACAGACAGCATGGATCGGAAGTTGTCAGCAGTTGAGATGAACTACACAAATGAATTGGTCGCTGGCTGCCCTCACGACTGCCCCGCCTGGCAACAGCCGTCCCATTCTCGTTTCGCTCATATTGTTTTCTGGCCATTAAGTCACTTTCATTCTTTGAACTTATTCTTGCAACCTGTGATGACCTTTGGAGAAGTTTTTTGCAGTCATTTTGCAGTTATTGACCATTTTCGGTGAAAAAAAGGAAAAGTCCTTTTTTTATTTTCAAATTTGCTCTCGATTGTCCTGACACCCAGTAGGTCTTGTTATCACGTAATGGTGGTAATAACATAATAACAATAATAGTAATAATAATAGTAATAATGGTAATAATAATAATAATAGCAATAATAACAATAACACTAATAGTAATAATAATAGTTATGTTAATACTGAAATTCGTCGCGAATTGCGAAGCGAAGCAGCTTTATTTAGTTATTTTTATTTATTCATTTATTTATTTACTTATTGCACATACGTGCCCCATTGAACGGAAACTACCAATACAAATTGAGCGAATGTAACATTCAAAATCAAGTGGATGCAAAAAAAAGTAGGCATCAATCATGGGTTGAGTAAAACTAAAAAAGAAAACAAAAAATAAAAATAATTTAAAAATATATATGTTTATTTTATTTTCACTTTTATTTTTGATTTTATTTACATTATATATTTCTATATGTATAAAAAAGTGAATTATTATGTCGGAGATGGTTAACTATCATATACCCATGGGCAGCGATTTGAGACTCGGTCGATTGCCGCCCAGGCCAACAAAGCCTTCCATCCCCTAGGTCGATCGAGGTTGGTACCAGACTTGTCTGGGAAGGTAAAAGCCGTGGATCGAACATCGACTGGTTACTGTAAGTCACTGTATTGGCCAATACGCATTCAAACCATACTACAGTTTTTGATGGAAGTCGAAAAGGGTGCGCATCACAAAGAGGGGTCAGTTAGTACCTGAAACTTTTCCTTCAGACTTTTTCCCTAAAAATAATAAGCTTCAAATCTATGCACAGACTTAACCGATGTCTGTTGAATGATTTGTTAAATATTTCAAAAATTTGTAGATGACATAATAATACAAACCTGTAACTGCTTTGAATTACTTAAAAGGTAAAGTAAACATATGAGTTTTTCTGGTATTATCACTGAATTTTTTTTGGATGAATGCTTCATCAATATACTGAATCAGATTCAAATTTAATAAGTGGGGATATTATGCACGTTTACAGTGTTCCAAACTGGAACTACCTGGAAAAACTGAATTTTTCTTCATCTAACTTCAGAAAAAGAAAAAAGAACGCTTCAAAAAAATGAAACTTAATGTCGCATAGAAATCGGAAGCTTTTGAACACATGGCAAGTTTTTATTTAATTTTTTTCTCAAAAAAATCTTAGGTAGGTCAGGTTTTGTCGAACTCATAGACTCAGTTTGTCGTCTGACGCAAATGGCTTGCGTGACGAAGGGATTTCCAGAAAAATAGGTTTTTCAGAGACTTTTTATTGCTGTGAGCCTTCGGCTAGCGACGCCGAAATTCCATTCTGGCCAACATTTTCTGTCCCCATTTCGAAAATCCCTGATTCACGATCAAATAGGCTACATGATATTCCTAGGAAAACTCTTTTTTGAGACTATTTTTATGGTCTGTTTTGCGTCCAATTGTCCGATGTGCTTTTATTATATTTCCATTGGGGTTTTTGTAACAAAGGCGATCTGTGACAGATGCAGCCGCGGGGCCCCATTATTTGCAATCCTCCTGTGTGGTCGCTCTCTGATGAAAAATCGTTTTAAAATGGTGTCCCAAACCCGATGTAATGCAGTGTTCGCAACCAGCCGCTCGATTTCCCTTGTTAGCTATCTCCTGGACTAGCTTTTACCGTAATCAAAGGGAATCAGACGAAAAATATGGTCTAGTGAATAGCTCATCTTCTAAATGGGAAAAGGGCCTGTTTTTCTACTTTTTCCGTTTTTGTCGTCCACATTGCTTATTATGTACTTGTTTATGAATTTGTTTACATTGTGTCTGTTAGTAAATAATATCGATAACAATAATAAAAGCAGATCCAAAGTAGTTTCGAGTCATTAGTAGCTGAATAAGGCTCGGTGTTTATTAGAAATGCATTCCAGTACTTCTTACAGTTTTTATTCAACATTTTTCTTTATACCGCAAAA